AAAAAAAAAAAAAAGGATTATAAGATGAACTATATCAATAGATACATAAAGATTGTAGCTTTTATCATTCTTTCTTTCTTTTTCTTTTTTATTTTTCTTTTCTATATCAATACTGAAGTGAAATTTGTGAGGCCTGAAAATGAACACAGGTAAAAGAGGGATTCTGTTTTAATATCTGTAAAAAAGCTTTTAATAAAGCTCCCAAATGGTCTCCATGTGTAGGCATTAAATGGAAAGGTCTTTAAAAAGTACAGAAACAAGTTCAACTGCCTGTGCTTATATGAACAAAGATCAAATCAAGAAGAGACCGTGTGGAGCATGCTATTATTATTATTATTATCATTTTTTAACGATTAAATAATTTTATTTATTGTACCTCTTCAAGCATTTGAAGCAGCTTGCTTTTCCTTCTCTGCAACTCCACAAGGTCGAGCGAGTAAAGTGACCGCCTTTTATCTGCGTTCTCACTCTCCCCCCACTCACCGTCGTCCTTTTGAACACCCTTCATTTTCCGGCCCGACCCGTTACCCTCATGATTCGACCCGAGGTCACAAACCTCTTGCAGCAGCTCCTGGGCCGGGCCCAAGTACCTCGAGTTCCGAACGAAGGCCTGCTGCTGCATATTGTGACCGCTCTCCGGCCTGGAGCTCGACGGCCCGAATCTAAACAGGTCACTCTCCTGCTGCTGGTGGTGTTGTCTGAGCTCGAAAGACTGAAGCCCTATGGAAGAAGGGTTGGAAGGGTTCAAGGAGAGTGAAAGCCCGTGGCTTGGCCTCTCGTTCCCTTCGCACGGAAAAACGCATGACCTTAGGGACGACTGGTCGAGCAGCTCGGTCATATCGTGCTGCGGGTAAAAACCGCAGTTTTCTTGATTAACAATTTGGTCCTTGGGATTGGAAGAAGGCAGGCCTTGCCGGGCGAAAAACGAGCCTTTCCATGAGAAGCTTCCGTCGGGAGTACCGTGCGGGTTCTTGGGCAAAAACCCTATCATGTTGTCCATGCCGGAGGAGATCAGGTTGTAGATCTCCGGGCCGGGAGGCCCGAATCCTTGAAGATGGGCCCGGAGGTTTTGGTCGTCGGCATTCGTCGAGGGATCCGGATAGCAGCTGTAGCCACCGGAGGGGATCAAGTCGTCCCGACCCGGTGATTTGTCCTCATCACCACTTGGGCCAGCCATACATGACATGTATGAAGGTGTAATTATATGTATTATATAATATGATATTCTGTATGTTTTGATGTGTAAAGATAATCCTCCCTTTGTTGTTCCTTTGTTGATGTCTTGTGTGGATTCTTCTTGCTCTTCACAACTCTAATAAAGTGGTAGCATGATATTCACCGACTGAAAATTCAATCAAGATTTCGTTAGAGCCATCAATCATCAATCAATCAGTCAAAATAATTAACAATATCAAGTGGGATCAAATAAAGATCCAATTTTTATAATCAAATAACAAGAAAGTGAGCTCCTTTTTAATTGTGTGCGCCTCCAAAGCTCAAAAAGATTGAATCTTTACCCTTAAAATTTCATGAGAGAGAGAGAGAGAGAGAGAGAGAATTAGCTAAGAAAATAGTTTAACTATGGAGGTTGGAGGTGAGTGTTGTTAAGGATATTTGGTGGGTGAGAGAGAGAGAGAGAGCCAAAAAATAAAAAAAATAAAAAAAAGGGGCATAGTTTTAGCTTTCTATCTTTTGATATTTCTCAGAAGTCTACTCTTAATAACCCAACAAAGAAGAAAGGGGAAGCCATGAAAACATATAAACCTAGGAAGAAAGAAGGTACACAACACACCCATAATACCCAAACAAAAAAGAAAAAAAGGGAAAGAAAGAAGCTCAGATAGGCTTTTTGATCATGACCTGCAAAGCAAATCCACATTCATCATTTT